TACCCAAACGCAAGAAATCAGCTTCGGCGACTTAGCTGTGGTAAGCCACTTGCCCGTAGCTTTTCCTTTGGAATTATTTTAACTTCATTAAAAAAAAAAAAAAAAAAAAAAAGGCCGGGCGGCGGTGGCTCAAGCCTGTAATCCCAGCACTTTGGGAGGCCGAGACGGGCGGATCACGAGGTCAGGAGATCGAGACCATCCTGGGCTAATATGGTTGAAACCCCGTCTCTACTAAAAAATACAAAAAACTAGCCCGGGCGAGGGTGGCGGGGCCCTGTAGTCCCAGCTACTTCGGGGGGCTGAGGCAGGAGAATGGCGTAAACCCGGGAGGCGGAGCTTGCAGTGAGCTGAGATCCGGCCACTGCACTCCAGCCTGGGCGACAAAGTGAGACTCCGTCTCACTTTGGGAGGCCGAGGTGGGCGGATCACGAGGTCAGGAGATCGAGACCATCCTGGCTAACACAGTGAAACCCCGTCTCTACTAAAAATACAAAACAAATTAGCCAGGCGTGGTGGCGGGCACCTGTAGTTCCAGCTACTCAGGAGGCTGAGGCAGGAAAATGGTGTGAACCCGGGAGGCAGAGCTTGCAGTGAGTCGAGATGGCACCACTGCACTCCAGCCTGGGCGACAGAACAAGACTCTGTCTCAAAAACAAACAAAAAATTGGTTGGTCATGTGGCTAGCACCTGTAATCCAGCACGTTGGGAGGTCAAGGCGGGAGGATCGCTTGAGCCCAGGAGTTCAAGATCAGTCTTCCCAACATTGTGAGGAACCCTCTTCTCCATTCCAGCCCTACCACCACTCTCTACCAAAAAAATTTTTTTTAATTGGCCAGGTGTGGTGGGGGCTTGTGCCTGAAGTCCTAGCTACTCAGAAAGCTGAGGCAGGAAGATTGCTTGAGCCCGGGAGTTGAAGGCTACTGTGAGCTTGATCCTACTATTACACTCCAGCCTTGGGGACAGAGTGAAGCTCCGTCTCTCCCATACCCCCAGAAAAGTATAAAATAGACAAACTTTTGCATAATGTGTGATTCAGCATTTCATCCACCCCATACATTTTCTTTTTTCTTCTTCTTCTTTTTTGTTGAGACAAGGTCTGGCTCTGTCGCCCAGACTGGTGTGCAGTGGCATGATCTCGGCTCACTGCAATCTTTGCCTCCCAGGCTCAAGCCACCTTCCCACCTCCCAAGTAGCTGGTACTACAGACATGCACCACCACACCTGGCTAATTTTTGTGTTTTTTGTAGAGATGGGGTTTTACCATGTTGCCCAGGCTGGTCTCAAACTTGTGAGCTCAAGTGATCTGCCTGCTTTGGCCTCCCAGAGTGCTGGGATTACAGGCTTGAGCCACCCCCCCCGGCCTTTTTTTTTTTTTTTTTTTTTTTTAATGAAGTTAAAAATAATTCCAAAGGAAGCTAGGCATAGTGGCTCACACATGTAATCCCAGCCGTTGGGGAGGCCAAGGCAGGAGAATCACTTGTGTCCAACGTGAGCAAGATAGCAAGACCCCATCTCTGCAGAAAACTAAAGAATTCGCTGGACATGGTGGCACATGCTTCTTGTCCTAGCTACTTGGAAGGCTGAGGTAGGATTCCTTGAGCCCTGCAGGTCAGGGCTGCAGTGAGCCAAGATTGTGCTACTGCACCTCAGTCTGGGCAACAGAACAGGGCCCTGTCCCTTACCCCATCCCAAAAACAAGCCTGAGAATAAGAGGAGATAATTCCTACTTAGGTAACTGACCAAAAAAAGGCTTATATCCAAAATATATTAAGAACTCTCTTACACATTAATTCCAAAAATTCAAATAATCCAATAGAAAAATCAGTAAAGAGGCTTGAGCAGGCTCTTCACAAAACTGTGCTATGGATAATAAACATGAAAAATTGAAGTTTTTATCCTCATTAATTATCAGGCAAATGGAAATTAAATCTGCCACTACACATGCATCAGAATGGCTAAATCCAAAAAGAGTTACAATACCAAATGTTGAAGAGAGTTTAAAGAAACTAGAGTTTGCATATACTTTTAGTGTGTAAAGTAGAAATATGTTTTGAAAAACGATTTGGCATTGCGTTCCAAATTTGAACTTAAGGATATACCCTTAAATACAACCATATAACATCATCATTTGAAGTAGCTCAGAATTAAATAGCTCTAATGTCTGTCTACAAGAATACATGAATAAACCAAGCTATAATGGTTAAGTATCAGAAATATTTGGGACCAGAAGTGATTTGGATTTCAGATTTCTTCAGATTTTGCAATATTTGCATTATACTTCAGAAATGTAAAATGTTCCAGTGAGCATTTCCTTTGAGTGTCATGTCTATGCTCAAAAAGGTTTTTTTGGAGCATTTTGGATTTCAGATTTTCAGGTTAGGGATACTCAACCTGTTTTATGGAGTGCTTTTAGGTAAAAGGAAAAGAACTACAGCTATGTGCAACAGTATGGATGACTCTCATAAACATAATGTTGAATCAAAAAAGCTAGACATAAACGAATAAATGATTTCATTATAAAGTTTAAAAACAGACAAAAGGGCCGGGCGCGGTGGCTCAAGCCTGTAATCCCAGCACTTTGGGAGGCCGAGACGGGCGGATCATGAGGTCAGGAGATCGAGACCATCTTCTCTACTAAAAAATACAAAAAACTAGCCGGGCGAGGTGGCGGGCGCCTGTAGTCCCAGCTACTCGGGAGGCTGAGGCAGGAGAATGGCGCAAACCCGGGAGGCGGAGCTTGCAGTGAGCTGAGATCCGGCCACTGTACTCCAGCCCGGGCGACAGCGCGAGACTCTGTCTCAAAAAAAAAAAAAAAAAAAAACAGACAAAATTAATCTATACTGTTAGAAGTGAGAATAGTGCTACCATTTGAGAAGGGGGCAATGATTTAGATGTGTCGTGTGCATCAAGGTGTAGAAATTAATGATGCATTATACCTTTGTAATTCTATACTTTTGTGAATATATATTTCAATTAAGTGTTTAAAAAATTCAGGTGTCATTTCCAAGTGTTTGAAAGAGATTAGCAAAATGAATATAAAGAAAACATCAAAAGCTGAAAGCAACATTTAATGGGAAAAAAAGTAAAACTGATCAGTAAACTCAAGTGATAGGTTTTTTAGAAGTATAAAATTGGCTGGTCGTGGCCGGTCGCGGTGGCTCACGCCTGTAATCCTAGCACTTTGGGAGGCCGAGGTGGGCGGATCACGAGGTCAGGAGATCGAGACCATCCTGGCTAACACAGTGAAACCCCGTCTCTACTAAAAATACAAAACAAATTAGCCAGGCGTGGTGGCGGGCACCTGTAGTTCCAGCTACTCAGGAGGCTGAGGCAGGAAAATGGTGTGAACCCGGGAGGCAGAGCTTGCAGTGAGTCGAGATGGCACCACTGCACTCCAGCCTGGGCGACAGAACAAGACTCTGTCTCAAAAACAAACAAAAAATTGGTTGGTCATGTGGCTAGCACCTGTAATCCAGCACGTTGGGAGGTCAAGGCGGGAGGATCGCTTGAGCCCAGGAGTTCAAGATCAGTCTTCCCAACATTGTGAGGAACCCTCTTCTCCATTCCAGCCCTACCACCACTCTCTACCAAAAAAATTTTTTTTAATTGGCCAGGTGTGGTGGGGGCTTGTGCCTGAAGTCCTAGCTACTCAGAAAGCTGAGGCAGGAAGATTGCTTGAGCCCGGGAGTTGAAGGCTACTGTGAGCTTGATCCTACTATTACACTCCAGCCTTGGGGACAGAGTGAAGCTCCGTCTCTCCCATACCCCCAGAAAAGTATAAAATAGACAAACTTTTGCATAATGTGTGATTCAGCATTTCATCCACCCCATACATTTTCTTTTTTCTTCTTCTTCTTTTTTGTTGAGACAAGGTCTGGCTCTGTCGCCCAGACTGGTGTGCAGTGGCATGATCTCGGCTCACTGCAATCTTTGCCTCCCAGGCTCAAGCCACCTTCCCACCTCCCAAGTAGCTGGTACTACAGACATGCACCACCACACCTGGCTAATTTTTGTGTTTTTTGTAGAGATGGGGTTTTACCATGTTGCCCAGGCTGGTCTCAAACTTGTGAGCTCAAGTGATCTGCCTGCTTTGGCCTCCCAGAGTGCTGGGATTACAGGCATGAGCCACACCCCATACATTTCCTACCCTCTGCTAGGACCTATGAATATTAAAATAAAAACTTTAGATAAATGTAATAGTTAAGCATTAAAGGATTCGTGAATCAGGCAGCACTCAAAACCAGAAGAGGTTCAGGGGCTCTGCTGTAGCAGCATGCCCATGCCCAACTGGGTTTTATAGACTGAATATGGAAGCAAAGTAAAGAAATTACTTAATTGGCTACAGCTAGGCATTAGCCTTAGCAGTATTCTGAGTTTCTTTTGTGAACCATTAGTATTACTCTATTGCTTTGGATAAAAAGTTGAGTGTCACTTTTTTAGGCAAGCCAGATGTCAGTTTTCAAGTGTCTTATGGTTATTTTCTTCTATTTTCTTGCCCAGAACCAGTTCTGAGTCTGTAAATACACATTTATATGTGTGTGTGGTAGGAGAGGTGGAGGATGATATTACTTATCCATTCGTCTACTTTTTTCCATAGCACTTGTCACCAATTGATATAATACATATTTATGGCTGGGCACGGTGGCTCACGCTTATAATCCCAGCACTTTGAGAGGCCAAGGCGGGCGGATCACCTGAGGTCAGGAGTTCGAGACCAGCCTGACTAACATGGGGAAACCCTGTCTCTACTAAAAATAGAAAATTAGCTGGGCGTGGTGGCACATGCCTGTAATCCCAGCTACTCGGGAGGCTGAGGGAGGAGAATCGCTTGAACCTGGCAGGGCGGAGGTTGCAGTGAGCTAAGATTGCCCCACTGAACTCCAGCCTGGGCAACAAGAGCGAAACTCCATCCCAAAAAAAACAAAAAAACTTGTTTATGTGTTTATTATCTGCTTAGCACTTTAGAATGTGAGATACCTAAGGTCTAGGACATTTTTTGTATAGTTGACTATCCTAAGTGTCTAGTATATTACCTCATGAAGATGAGGTCCTTCATAAATATTTGCAGAGTGAATGAAAGCATAAGCCAGAGATAAGGACTTGAAGGGAAGCCACCTGGCCTACATGACTTTACCAGCTGGAGGAGCTAAAGATGTCTAAATTCAATAAACCGTTTGTGTTGGGAGTCCTCAAGACCACCACCCTCATACTCAGTGATAGAAGTACTCACAGGACTCAGAAGCTATTAAACCTACAGTTATGGTTTATTACAATAAAAGGGTACAGATTAGAATCTGCAAAGGGAAAAGATGAATGGAATGAAGTCTGGAAAAAACCAGTCTTCTCTCCCGTGTAGTCACATGGACAGTGCTTAAGTTGCTGACTAGGGAAGCTCACCTGAGCTTTGGTGTCCAGGATTTTTACCAAGGCTTAGTCCCGTAGGCATACAGCACCTGAATGACTTACTTCATACACTTATGCCCAGCCCGTCAACAGTTGAAACTCCTGCGTTATTGCCAGAAGCCTCAGGCATACAAAAACAAGCCTTCAGCATAAATCATATGGTTAGCGTACACAATCTGGTCACGCTAATATAGTTTGGCTCAGTAGCTCAACCATACAAAAATATACACTTATCAGGCAAGATATTCCACAGGCTAACAGGTCATCTCTCACAAACTGAGCCAAGTGTCAGTCCTGAAGACAGATCTTTCTCAGGAGAGTGCAGGGTTTGGGCATCCCAGGCCTGTTGAGTTAACCTTTCCGCACATCATTTCATGACGATCTCGTGGTCACATTGGAGAATAAGAAGAACCTCAGGAGTTTAAGTTTGTTAGTCAGTGTAACCTGCATTCTTATCCTGGCTCACATTTCCTGATTGGTGATGTTGGATCAATTAGTGTCTGAGCTTATTAGGTTTCCTCAACTAATACGATAGTAACAAAAACTGCTTTGATAATTATATGAACTTATCCTACCACTGTTTCTGGCACATGGGTACCAGGTAAATGGCATTTGTTATTATTTATGTCCACGTGGCATAATACTGTAGTGGCATTCACATGAACAACTTCATCTTCTGCAGAGAGATGGCTAATGAATGGCGCTTGATGACAGATGAGTAATGCCTGTTGCTTAAAGATTGACGGTATGAGACAAGACTCCCATTACTACTTAATCAAGAGGAATTGAGATTGACCTACCCATAAGTTCAGACAATGTCTCGAAGAGACTTTGGGAACAAGATATTCAGGTACATTTCACTGTTAGACTCACAGGATGCTGGCCATTGATCTTTCCCTTTGTGGTAAGTCCATGTTAATGGTCCTTCAAGACCCTGCTTTAACCAGGCTGTGAACAGCTTGTCTTGTGATTAGGGTTTAGGGTCTAAGTGGCCCTGCTTTTGAGATATCTAGAAGGGGCTAAAGGAGATATGAATATTCTGTGGTCTAAATCCTGGGATTTGGGAAGGAGGGGTAAGTACACAGGCTTTTGAGATACCTAGAAGGTGCTAAAGTAGATATGAATATTCTGTGGTTTAAATCCTGGGATTTGGGGAGGAGGGGTAAGTATGCAGGCTTTTGTGGAAGAGGTTCAGCTTAATCACATGATGAGTTTCATTTTTGGCAAATAAGAAGGAAAATGTTAACTTCTCCAGACTTTTTATTCCTTATAAAATGGAATTGTTAAACTCTCTTTCCTGGTCATCAAAGCCTGAAGCATATTTTCTGGCTTCAGGTGAGTCACGCTGCTCAGGCATTTTATTGTAATAATGTATGTGTGTCCGCTTAGTATTAGTATGAGGTGGCTTCTTGGCCTGTGAGTATGGAAGCTATCAGCAGCCTGGATTCTCAAGTTTTATTTCTTCTTCTCAAGATCATCTTTCTCAAGACTTCTTCTGTCTTGATGAGGCAAAATTTGAAGAGGAAAGGATGGTGGCTGGGTGGTTGACAAGTTACTCTCAGGTAAGTAGGAAATTGCTTTTTCTGTAGAAGCATATGCTTCTTATTACCATGTAGATGTGTTTTCTCCTAGTGGAACAGAGCTCCTACAAGCAAAGAGGGTCTGCTTAGGGACCACATCTCTCATCAAACTTCTTCGGACCACAGGCCTCTCACGTGGTTAACAGATTTCACAGGGAAATGATCCTACTATCCCAGTGTTTACTAATTCAGTTTGACTCTCATCCATGCTGATTATATGCTTTCATTTTGCTGTGATAGGGAGAGAATGCACTTGTGCTTCTCAGAGTTTGTGCTGTCACTAGAGCATTTATTTGAGTGTCTGTAATGTACTCAGGATTGTACTAAAACCTGTCGATAGCGAATGATAAGTCACAATCTAGTTGTGCTGAGATAAATTCAGTTAGGTGAAAGAGGTGCTCTTCAAGCCATGTGACTAGATGAGATCACCAGTGAATATGTACAGACAGAGGAGAAGAAAGTGAGGACGGTCAAGTGATAGGGACCAAAGAGTCTTATCAAGGCATGCCAAGACAAGGTCCCTCATTGTCCAGTCAACATAGTGGAGAAGGTACTTGCTTGATGCCAGCATGTGTGTGATGGTTTAGGACTCAGTGACCTTTGAGGATGTGGCTGTGGACTTCACCCAGGAGGAGTGGACTTTGCTGGATCAAACTCAGAGAAACTTATACAGAGATGTGATGCTGGAGAACTACAAGAATCTAGTTGCAGTAGGTAAGGCTGGTACCATTCTTTTCATTTAGTTTTTTTCTGGAACAAATATGTCTTAAGTAACTATATTCTAGGCTCTCTGCTTGTTAATGGGCTGCACTGGTAAACAGGCGAAACACTGTTTCCATCTCATAGACCTTACTGCCTAGTGATTTTTCTGATGAAATTGAACATCTATTCATTGTTCTGGCTTTGTTTTCTCCATGGATAAAAGACTTAGAGCTTCTTGAATATGTATACGAGCTTGAGCCTGGGTTGCATGGGAAGAATTGCTAGTCCTTTTGGTGCACAGTGAATGAGAAAAGAGTATTTGCAGTTTAGGTTCACTTGAAAGTTTTTGTCATAAACATTGTGCTGTTTAAGTTATACCTGAGAGGGTTCAGAATGCCCAAACAGCAAAATCTTAGCCCTTAATTCATGGAAGCATTTGTTATCCCTTGCACATTCTTTCTTTTCCTTTTTTTTTTTTTTTTTTTTTGAGACAGAGTCTCGCTCTGTCGCCCAGGCTGGAGTGCAGTGGCATCTCAGCTCACCGCAAGCTCCGCCTCCCGGGTTCACGCCATTCTCCTGCCTCCGGACTAGCTGGGACTACAGGCGCCCACCACCACGCTCAGCTAATTTTTTTGTGGGTTTTTTTGGTATTTTTAGTAGAGACGGGGTTTCACCGTGTTACCCAGGATGGTCTTGATCTCCTGACCTCATGATCCGCCTGCCTCGGCCTTCCAAAGTGCTGGGATTACAGGCGTGAGCCACTGCGCCCGGCCATCCCTTGCACATTCTAACATCATTCATCTTTCTCCGAGAGCAGGGTACTAGCTATGCAGACATGGTTTGACTTTTCAGGTGAAACAAGAAGAGTTAAAGACAGTGCAGAAAATTCTCCAAGATGAGAGAAAAGACAGATGTGATTATTTGTGAGAAACAGCCCTGATCAGAGGTGCAGTCTGTTTATAAATGTTAAGTAGGAAGGTTTTGAAAGTGTACTTTTTTGGGGAGAATATCAAGGCCAATTGGTTTCTGTGGTTCCTTGGGTACCTTAACTTCTCTTTCTCTTTCACTTTCCATCCGTCTTGGAAACTTTCTTTTGCCCTGACATTAAGATGTGTCTCATTTCTTCTTTAAATTTATGATTTGCATTTAGCTGTGTATCCATTTCCTTTCAACTTTGTTTCCCTGGCTGTACCTCTTTTTTGTTCACTATAAAGTCTCAATGTTTAGAGAACTATTTCTTTTTGTTGTTGTTGTTTTTTAGAGACGGAGTCTCACTCTGTCAGTTCACTGCAACCTCTGCCTCCGAGGTTCAAGCGATTCCCCTGCCTCAGCCTCCTGAGTAGCTGGGACTACAGGTGCGTGCCACCTTGCCTGGCTAATTTTTTTTTTTTTTTGTATTTTAGTAGAGACGTGGTTTCACCATGTTGGCCAGGATGGTCTCAATCTCCTGACCTCGTGATCTGCCTTTCTTGGCCTCCCAAAGTGCTGGGATTACAGGCGTGAGCCACCACGCCCAGCCTAGAGAACCATTTCTTAGTGAATCACCTACCAGCTTGACCTCAGTACCTTACTGTTGCTAGACTCTTATTACATCCAAGTTTCTCAATTTCTGTTTCCCTTTCTTTAAAAAAAAAAGAAAAAAAAACTGTATTTCAAGCCAGTGTTTGAAACTACAATACACGCTAGTCGTGCATTTTTAATACCCTTTTTAAAATCATTATTTCTCTAAGAACTTAAAATTTTTTTTTTCCATCTTATTTCAGATTGGGAGAGTCATATTAATACCAAATGGTCAGCACCTCAGCAGAATTTTTTGCAGGGGAAAACATCCAGTGTGGTGGAAATGGTAAGATTCAGAAGGTATAATTTATTGCCTTCCATGTTAGAGGAAGATTGGAAATTCCGTAAAATGGAAAAGCCGCACAGTAACCTTGAGACATTTGAGACTAGTGTTTTTCACCCAAAAATAATCTGTCTCTTGGAGACACTGTGGATCATGAGTTTGACAAACACTCTAAACATCCCTCATAATATATTTGCTTACATATTTCCTTCAACTAAACATTCCCATATAGGTATCTCAGATGTTTTTGATAAATAATTCACTCTTGGGCCACTATCAGCTAAGCTCTATTTAGAAGCCCTGTGAAAGTAAAGAATATAACAGAACTTCCTGCAGTCACTTTGTTTCACTTGAAAGCACTCAGATCCGAACCATGCATTGCAATGAAAATGGCAGGAACAAACAATTTCAATTATACTAACTTATTTTCCATGCATAACAGAATTCAGAGTAAAAGGGAGAATCTGAATGAAATAAATTTGGAAAACTTGTATGAATCATCATTAATTTTCACCAACAGGAGAGAAACCATTTTGGAGAGGAACTGTTTGACTTTAACCAATGTGAAAAAGCCTTGTATGAACACTCATGCCTTAAGACTCACAGGAGAACCTACTTTAGAAAGAAAACCTGTGAGCGTAATCAGTGTGAAAAAGCCTTCACAAAACCCTCTACTTTACACAAGAAAACTGATATTGGAGAGGAACTTCCTAACTGTAATCAATGTGAAACAGCCTTCAGCCAACATCTACGTCTTGTTTGCAAGAAAACTAGCCAAAATCTACATCTTGTTTGCAAGAAAACTCACACTCAAGAGAAACCATACAAATGCAGTGACTGTGAAAAAGGCTTACCTTCCTCCTCACACCTCAGAGAATGTGTAAGAATTTATGGTGGAGAGAGACCATATACTCATGAGGAGTATGTCAAAACCTTTTCTGATTCTACAGGCCTTTTTGTACACATGCAAACTCAAGATGGAGAAAAATTCTATGAATGTAAAGCATGTGGGAAAGCCTTCACTCAGTCTTCATATCTTACTCAACATTTAAGAACTCATAGTAGAGTGTTACCTATAGAACATAAGAAATTTGGCAAAGCCTTTGCTTATTCCCCAGAACTTGCTAAACATATGAGACTTAGAACTAGAGGGAAACACTATGTTTGTAATGAATGTGGCAAAGAGTTTACTTGTTTCTCAAAACTCAGCATTCACATAAGGGTTCACACTGGAGAAAAACCATATGAGTGCAACAAATGTGGGAAGGCCTTCACTGATTCTTCAGGTCTTATAAAACACAGGCGAACTCACACTGGAGAAAAGCCTTATGAATGTAAGGAATGTGGGAAAGCTTTCGCTAACTCTTCACATCTTACTGTACATATGAGAACTCACACTGGTGAGAAGCCTTATCAATGTAAGGAATGTGGAAAAGCCTTTATTAATTCCTCTTGCTTTAAAAGTCACATGCAGACTCACCCTGGTGTAAAACCCTATAACTGTCAACATTGTGGGAAAGCCTTTATTCGATCCTCGTTTCTTATTCGACATTTAAGAAGTCACAGTGCGGAAAGGCCTTTTGAATGTGAGGAATGTGGGAAAGCCTTTAGATACTCCTCGCACCTTAGTCAACATAAAAGAACACACACAGGGGAGAAGCCATATAAATGTCAAAAGTGTGGGCGAGCCTTCGCTATCTCATCAGGCCTTACAGTACACATGAGAACTCACACTGGCGAACGGCCCTTTGAATGTCAGGAATGTGGGAAAGCCTTTACTCGGTCCACGTATCTCATTCGACATCTAAGAAGTCACAGTGTGAAGAAACCATATAAGGAATGTGGGCAGACCTTTAGTAATTCCTCATGCCTTACTGAATGTGTGTGAATTGGGGCTGATATTTGGAAAGAATGTGGTAAAGCCACTACTTCCTCACACTTACTGAACATGTACTCATAGTGGCAATGTACACAGTCATAAGGAATGTGGGAAGCCTTCCTTGGTGTCTCAGATCTCAACAATTCCAATAGAAGAGAAGACATATGAATGTAAGGAATGTGGGAAAGTCTTGGCTCCTTCCATAGGCCGTACTTATTCATGTGTCTCTGCATCCTAGGAAACAAACTGAATGTAGAAAACCATCAGTCGATGCTTACATCTTACTGAGTCTGTTTGAACTCATGCTGGAGAGAAATGCTGTGAATGTGAGGAAGGTGGAAAAGCTTTCATTATTTTCCTCAGGCTTTATTGAGCTTGTGAGCACACTGGATGTAAATGCACATCCTCTGGATGTAAGGAATGTGTTGAAACCTTTTGCTCTGCCTTATACCTTAATATTCAACTGTGATCTCACAAGTATGAAAAATCTTGAATGTAAGATGTGTGGAGATTCTTCTTTGTTTTTAGCTTCCACTTTGGGAACATGTCAGATCACAC